ATTGGACTGTAAACTTGAAAACTGCTGGAAAGGTACCATTTCTAATACAAGATTATGAAGTTTTTGCCTAAACCTCTTGATTTTGTATGTGTATCTACCTTGACCTCTGCTGAAAATCCCACCGTTCACTGACACCAACAAAATTGCAAGTTTGCTTTCAAAGAAAATACACAGACCACAGTCCCCAAATAATAATATGATTACCAAATATAGTTTCAGGTTTTATCACTGGGTTGAATGCTTATGGAGTCAAATTACAATTTTTGAAATCACTTGGAAAAGTTCCTCTCTATGGGGATATGCCAACAACTCATTAAACAGTTAAAGCTCATTTGTATCATTTCTCTTTCAATTTTAAGGATTCTTAAAAACAGTTTCATAATTATGTAAACATGTATTTTGTTCCAAAGTTAAATTTATAAAACAAAGTATCAAAACCAAATATATTCAGAATATTCAAGCTACAGTTCTCTCCCCACTCCCACTCCTATGTAAACTTTTAAAAAATTATAGTTTATGCTTCCATTTATATAAATCCTTCTTTCATAAATATTAGCATTCTATAAGGACTTTTCACCACCTGGAGATCACTATATAATGGTATATAAAGATATTCCCCATTACTTTTTATAGTTGTATGCTATTTTCTTATTTGGATGCACTATAATTTAATCAAACAGCTGTCTATTGAGGGGCATTTTTATTGGTAACTTTTTTTTTTGCATTTATAAATAACACTGCAATGAATAGTCTTGCAGGTATCTCTTTTTGTACCTTCATCAGTGTGTTTTTGAGATAGATTGCTAACAGAAAGATTGCTGGTCCAAGTGGTAAATGCATATTTAATTTTTCTAGACATTACCAAGTTCCATTCTAACTTTTTGCGTTTCTGCAAGCAATGTATGATAGTACCGCTTTACCCACTGTCTTGTCAAGAAAAGTATTCCGTTAAACATTTGGATTTTTGCTAATCTGATGGGGAAAAACTACGTTTCTTTTATTCAGAATGAATAATGTCGAACAACTTCACAAATATATAAGTGACGCTTGCATTGCCTTTTTTGGGAATTGCGTATTTATATTTCTAGTGTTTTATTATATGATTTGGGGTACATTTCTTCTTCTGACCTATTAACTCTTAGTACAAGTAGCTAATAATTCTTCCAGTTTGTTATTTATCTATTTAATTTTCTTACAGTGTTTTTTTGTCAGCCCAAAGTTGTGTGTGTGTGTGTGTGTGTGTGTGTATGTGTTTGTGTGTGTTCATAAGGGAACTAATTTTTCCCTGAAATTTAAGTAGAGTTAGGAAAGTTTTTCTTACCACCCAGTTATAAGAAATTTGGCCATTCATTTTTTTCCTCTAAGACATGTATGGTTTTACGTTATACATTTAAATCTCTGATTCATTTGGAATTCATCCTGGTGTATTAGTTAAAAAAAATCCCTAAAATTTACCAACCAAGAGCCAGTACAGGCTGCCTCTAGAACACCACTGCTGATAGATCATGCCATTGTCATTGACAGACTACTGTCTGGAGAGCCATGAGTTGTCTCCATGTGTTGTTTCATTTTGTATGTTCTTAGTTATGACTGTGTATGTTTTATCAAGTCAGTAAAGTTCCTGGTGCTTCAAATTTTCCAAACCTTCAAAAACCTCTTTGGACATTGAGATAATATGTCATTATTCTTGGTGAACAGTACATTACAGCTTTGGGGGCAGAATGTATCACTATCTGGAAAAAAAACTTTGCTATTTCTCTAGTTGAGATTTTTTTTTTAGCATAAAACAATTACTCAATCGCATGATAGTGCTACTACTTGCAAAAACAATACAGAAGAGGGAGATATTCATTTAGGGAGACAATTATGTATTGAATGGTCTAGTTTTTAGCAGATTGGCACCGACTATTGCTTATAACAATATATCATCCATTTTCTTCTCTCAGGTTTAGAAAATTCACCATTCCCAAATGAACCCACCAAAAAAAAAACCAAAAAACAAAAAAAAAAACCAATCTATAATAAAGACTCACCACTACTGGAAGCATCATTCAGATTTAGCAGTCCTCCTCCTAGCCCTCTGTAACTATGGTAACTGTAGGTCCCATTGCCATTGATGTACAACACCTCCTGCGAGCCTGGAACAGCTGATGTTGAGTAAGTAGCCTGGGCCACCTCTGGCTTACATTGTCTGTCAGCTGGAGCAGACTCATCCTGCAATGACAGACAGCATTCCATGATTTATCAACCCACTGTACTATTTCAACTGGAACAGGACTATATTATCTACAACTATATCTGCATTGAATAAGAAAAGTACACACAGTGAACATTAAGTAAGCACACATGCACATCTTCAACATTTTGTCAAAAACTAAAATAAGGAAAACAAAATAACAATGTGAGCATATTGGAGATGGAACAATTGACAATTTTCAATAAAATTAAAATTACACAAAGAGAGTTATTCACACTACAAAAGTGGAAGCAACCTAAATGTACATTGATAGATAAATGGATAAAGAAAATACAATACATACATACAATGGATTATTCAGGCTCTAAAAAGAAAGAAACCCCATCATATACTACAATGTGAATGAAACCTAAGAACATTATGCTAAATGAAATTTTAAAAAGTCACAAAAAAGCAGATGTTTTTGTGATTCTACTTACAAGGATTTAAAGTAGTCAAACTCACAGACACAAAGTAAAATGGTGGTGTGCAGGGGCTGGGGGAGGGGGAGGTAGGGAGTCTTTCTGTGGGTATAGAGTTTCAGTCGTGGTGGGGTTGTCGGGCGAGGGGGGTGATCCTGGGAATCTGTTGCGCAACAATATGCATGTGGTTGACAATATTGGACTGTAAACTTGAAAACTGCTGGAAAGGTAAATTTTATGTTAATTTTTTTAAAAACTAGCTAGGCTTAAAAACATTACATGAAGAGAAATTACAATGGAAAGCAAAGAAATATGTAATAAAATTTGCAGTTCTTAAAATTTTTTTTGCAACCTTCTTTGTCTTATTTTATGATTATAGCAAAATTTATTGAATGCGGACCGAGCTGACCTCATTATATGCATTATAACAGCCTGACAAGGATACAAATGGAACCCAGGCCTTTCTGGTTTTTGTTTGTTTTGCTCATTTTTAGTTGTGCTAGAGTCCAAAAAATTTGCTTCGAACCTTCTAACCATGTCAAGTCATATGAAAATAAAAATTGTAATTTGCAATAAGTTGTATATATTTTCAACAGCAAAGCAGACTGAATGAATTTCCCTGCAGCTATGAGTTTATAAAGTCTAAAATATATACCACATATGACTTTACTTGCTCACTACATTCTTCATCTTCTTTCCTTTTTTTAGCAAGAAAGAATTATAAACAGATTTCTAGTGAATTCTTAGGAGAGTTTTTTTTTTGTCACAATCAGAAGCATTTTGGAGCTCTTAAATTTATATTATATGTTTAGTGAAACAAGTAACTTTCAAACAGATTTTTTGTGGCTCTAAGTG